ATATGGAAATATAGGCTAGAATTTTGTCTTTATTACCTCTTAATATTTTTTTGTTTGTTTTTTTAGATGACATTTTGGAATTATTTATATTATTAAAAAAACTACTGCAGTCTTAGCTTGTGTGTCAACGCTGTTACCAGCATATTGTTTAAACAACATTTAAAACTATAATTTAAAACAATTTAAAACTATATGATAAAAAAAAAATTATATTATATATGTATTAAATAAATATTATAATGCTTTCAAGCAATGGAGTAAGTCTCTTTGTCATGTTTTTTTGTCTTTCTGAAGGCATAAATAAATCCCAACATTATTTAAGATAGAGATAAAACAATGCAAATTTAATAACAGTTAAACACATTACTTATCTGAATTTGTTTGAAATATGATGATCAAACTAAAAAAGGATGGATGATCTTTTTTAAAGACTTTTTGGTGCGCTGTGTATGTGTATGTATGATTGATCTATGTGTACTCGCCTAATTGATGTGCCATATAGAAATCTGGCACATGAAGTCTTGACCTTTGACCTGTAGCGTCTAGTCACACTCATCCTCTTCTCTCCTGGGGCTCTCCATTCAGAGCGAGAAGGACAGCAGCTGCTTGTCTAGATGAAGAAAAGGAAAGAGGATTTGGGTGTATTTGGGAACAGATGAAAGGAAGGAATAAAGTAAAAGGTTACTGTATCTTGTTACACAGTCCTCCTGTCACCTAACTAATATAGTTTTAAGGATTTATGATCTTTAAGGTTAGTTTTTTTTTGTTTGTGAGGACCTATTGTTTTCATCATCATCATCACGGTTTTCTCAATCATCATAATTCTTTCACCTCACTTTTGCTTATATGCTCAGTGTTTATCCTGTGGACAGACACCATCAAAACATGAACTTTTAACATGCCACTCTTCCTCTTTCTACTTCCACATGCACTTATCGTGTTGTGATTAGTTAACATGAACAATTCTGAAAAGAGGCAGTGGAGTTTAATACACTCTCAAGTAGCCACAAGTTCTGAGACATGTGTAATTCAAGTATGCCTGAACTCCCTAAACAACAATACGTCAAGCACAACAGCAGTTTGGATTTGTACATGTGCAAGCTAGTGTATAAATAGAAGCACACCCAGTATTAATGAGCATGAACAGCCTTGACTTTGAAAGAACTATTGTTTACTTGGTCTCTATTTCCTGATAAAGGCTGACAGAGAGTAGATGGGCATGTGTGTGAGAGTGAATCTTTTTGTGCATGTTAGGGGGTGGGGTGACCAAACCTGTTTAATTCAGTTTGAGTCTCTGCTGCCTGGCATCTGCTGATCTCTCTGCCATGGTCCTGATAGGTGGACGCACTCACATACACTCACAAACTCGATCACACACTCACAAACACGCTCACACACTCAACATTCACTTTCATAAAAAAACATTCTGTTCATCATCTCCTTTTGTATTGCATGAAAAGAAAAAAGTCAAGAGTTTTGAGAGACGTGTAAATAATGCATGCTCATTTTGTGAACTATTGCTTCAAATATAGTGATAGTGAATGTGTTTGTGGACTGATAAGACAACGCACTGCTCTTTCTCTTGTAAGCATATGGAAAATCACTAGACTGTGACCTTAAGCTTAGTCAAAACATTTTTCGTATCTCAAATGTCTCTCCAGGCACTTTTCAATCTTTTAAAATCAACTGTAATATATGTTGTTGTGGTCCAGTATATGGCACGTTTTATATGAAACATCTCACACATCGATTGCTGCATCCTGTCATCTGGTGCTTTCTCATTATTTGTCTCTCCAGTGTTTTTTTGTTATCCAAAGCTGATGGCCTTATCTTTCCCGTTTCATCTTGCCACTCTCTCTCTGTTTTAACCAGTTGGATAATGAAAGGTAAGAGATAAGAGAACCTTTCCCATGGCCAACAGTATGGGCCCTTTCCCATGGGTCCATCATCCAATGGGAGTGAGTCATGGTGATATAAATAGCAGACAGACAGGGAAAGGGAAAAATAGTATTTGTTTATGAGAATGAAAACGTGTGTGTGTGTATGAGAGAGAGAGAGAAACTGTCATTGATGATTGAATAGCAGCATCCTGGACTGGCTTTCTGCCATTCTCTGTCTCCGTGCAAGGAAAAATATGCAGTTTTTAGATGTTTGGGAATATGATAGAAGACATTTAAGCATGTGCATTCACATTTCAATAAACAATTCAGAATAAACATGCCGTTTTCTGTATATCTTTCACCATGTGATTAGAGGGTTGATAAGATGCTCATGTATTATTATAGGGATAGTTCATAAAAAAAAAAAAAATCAATTACCCACGTGTCATTCACAACTTTTCTTTCTTCTGTGGAACATAAAAGAAAATATATGTGCTTTTTTATTTTCATATCAATGGGCACCACAATCTGCATGAGAGAACTCTTAACACCCAGTCCTATGTGTGAAGAGACTAAATAAAAACAACAAATGGAGCTTTGAGAGTGTGTCAAGGTGTGCTTTTCCTCTCCTTTAATGGGCTATATGCACGCATAAATTCCGCATTTGACGCAAGGATGCTCGTCCATTTCCGGTTGTGGAGATTAAAGCGGAGGAAAACCGAGGAAAACGGGATTATGGCAGAGTCTTAAAAATGTACTGTCCTCCAGTCTTATAGATACGTTTAGATGTAATTTTATATATAGTTATATTTATTTAATATAATTTTAAAAAGAAGCATAAACACAACGAGGGGTGTCTGTTTTATCTGTTTTTGTGACTAACGTTTCTTTAGTATAACCATGGAGTATAAAATTCAATATAAATTCTCGGTATTGCATTGGACTACGATCGGCGGAAGTTATCGAGCATCCCTAATGCTTAACCGGAAATACCGCCATGCATAGAGCCCATTATGGCCAATTTTGGACCGATTAATCAGAAGATAAAGTCCTACCTCAGTTAACTGCAAGTCATTGAAAACAGACAATAACTGTCTCTCCACAAGATCATAGGTTTTATCTCCAGAGTATCATCAGACAGGTTTTCTCAGAAGCTTCTCGGGAACATTTACTCGGAAACCCGACTACATCTGACTGTGACATAAATGTCATTGTTTCACATCAAGTGGTTATAAATAAAATGGATCATATTTTAGAGTAAAGAGAAATCAAAATGGAAGTAAAGGAGATAAACAGAGGGTAATATTTACTGTAGCATTTAAATCAAGCTATTTTTTTAGGGAGGAAAGCTTTAGCTTCTCAGTCTTCCATGATAAGATAAAGCAATAAGCTTATACATGGGATGGTGGTTCTAATCTTTAGGTCTGTGTGCTCTTTTGTTTACATGTCAGCATTTTTTTTTTCAGTGAAACATGTTTCTGTTGCAATTGATAACAGCGAGTATGGAAGTGGAACTGATATACTTCCCTATTTCAACTGTTTATTTTCAATAGAGAGCACAGCCTGGCATTTAATGAGACATGATGTTTGTAATGGGAGAGGATTGACGGTTGAGGTTCATGGCCCAGGGGACTGTGTCTTTGTGTCTCAGAGTTCTCTGTTTTCCTCTGTCATGGCTAACAGTTAAACCGAGCATTGAACAATGGATGCATACGGCATTTGGCCTCTCGGAGCCCCGAGTGGGAGTGAGTAATGGGGGTTTAAAGATCAGGCTTCTGCTTTTTTACAAAACAGCTTCTTATCCTCTGCGTCTCTTCGTTAATTAGGTCTCGACTCATCTAGTCTGCACAGACCTCACCTTCAATTAGCTTTCTTTGGTGAAATACAGTCCCCTAATGCCTTGATCTTTGTTAACAATATAATAAGTATTTGTATAATAATTATTTATATATAGACAGTATATAAATATATATATATATATATATATATATATATATATATATATATATACTGTTTATATATTGACTTACAGTCAGTAAATTTAATTTAATTAAGCAATTGCATTTGTCTTCACAATTGCATCTCAATAGCACCTAAAGATAACAAAGAGTGAAAGGCTACTTTGTAAGTAAATTAAATCACTTTGAATTCACCTTCTGCTACTTTAGTTTATCAGTTGCTTCATTGTATATGCAGACGAGAACAAACACAGTACTAGTGAATCTGTGCCAGTTACTGAATTAACACCATCCCCCCATAACAGCCCTGTCTGGTGCTGGCTGGGCCCATAGACTGGCTGGTCCTCAACCATTTTTTTACAGTCTCACCACATGATGTAGTCTAACAACTGCTTTATTTAATAAAATCACAAATGAAGGTTCCTCCGCTAATTAATAAATATTTCTGTAGTTGTAAACCATCACATCATACTATATAGTTTGCTCTTGCCTTAGCCTACTGAGCAGTAAAAAAAATAATTTTAAATAAATTTTTAAAAAGTAAAGTATATATATATATATATAGGCCAGATTTTAAATAAACACGTTTAATTTATGGGTATATGGCATTGCTGACATACAACATAACCCACAAATCACTTTAGAAAAAGGTTACATTGTTACCTGCCTCGACAGAATTGAAGTAAAAGTGAGCAAATGTATATGCCAGAATAAAACCAAAATATTTAAGGTATATAACATTGTTTTAAAACCTGATTTATTATCAGTTACTGTGAGATTTGAAACGAGGCAAACAATTACGTAATTTGTATCACATTCATTGAGGGGCGGTTACTATGGAAACCATCCTGCGTTTTCCAAACTGGGAAGCAACCAATGGCGGGATTCGGCTCATACCATTATTTGCAGGATTGGGGGTGTTCACACGGTGTGCATACATCCTGACCCGCTTTCTCGTCCTGCTTTTTTAAATGTATGTTATATTTTAAGAAGATGTTTAGGGAAAATAAACACATTTGTGTAGTAAATTAAAGCATACATTACCGCTGAAGTTCTATTTTCAACCACAATGATATTGCCCCCTTATATCATTTGGTTTGATAATGGTATATTCCCCGCAGAAATTCAATTCGCTATCAGTTCACTGTTCATGAAAATGAAGCTACTCTCACTTTTTGTCTGTCTCAAAGACATTTCAGATATTAACTAAATTCATACGCTACAATCCAGTTTGAAATTCACCTGTTTGATGTTTACTATGGAAACGCTACAGTGTCGCTTCTGAGGTGAGTGATACATGAATAAATGGATTATTCACAAGAAGACTGAATGACAATTTATGCTAGTCAAATGATCGTTTTTTATGTAATATTCGAAGTAAAAATGAGGCAAACTAATGCTGAAAATACAGTCTGTTTAATCTTTAGGTTTAGTGGATTTCTCGCATGATGTTGACAAAGTATTAAACTCATAGTCTTATTTAAAAATATTATAGATAATCATTCAGTTTTACTAATTCTCATATCAGTGAATGGAATCAGGATATTTGTTCGTTTGAATCGGTTCAACAATGATCTGATGAATCGTTCAATGATTCGTGCAAAGTCTTTTCCAGCAAAATGATTTGTTAATTTTAATATTGATTATTGTAAATGCAGATGATATTTGTAATCTTGCCGACTATGAACTGAGATATATTAGTACAATTTTTGATAACGTCGTTTTGCCACTTCGAGATTCCAGGGACCGCGTGATGACGTAAATAAAAGAATCACTGAATCTTTTGCTTTAAAATTAACTGTTCGAAAGAACCGACTCGAAGCACTTTATTGCAGGATGTCAGTGTTGCAGCCGAACTAGGCTTAGTTTGAAAATGAATGTGTAGTCTTGTTAAAAGTGGAGCCCAAGGGCGAGTCCCGGGGTGAAGGTTTACCACTCACATTATGTGAGAGTGATTTGATCTTGATTGTAGCACTGCTCATTGAAGAAACTATATAGCTTCACAGAAGTAGAAGTGACCGGTGTTTCGTTTGGACTATTTTTGGACCAAACTTGACTACTAGATTGTGGTAGTAGGGCTTGTTTGAAGAAAAAAAAAAATGCTTGTTCGTCTGCGTGTTTTAGTCACCAAGCCAAGCGAAACAGATCATATAAAATCATATAAGATCATTTAAGAAGACATATTGCCATTGTCTTGTTTTAATGTACACATACTCTTTATAATGTTTTGACCTGATTCCACTGCAAAGGAAATTGAAACGGGATTAGTTTAGGCTGAGAGTATGTTTTTGTCATTCCCTGTTAGTTGATAGCCTGGGCGTTATCATTCCGTGTCTGTCTAAATACTGAATTGCATCATGTTGACCTTTTTGTACAAGATAAGTCTTAAAGTATATAAATAAAAAACATTAACAGCTATTCATGTATAATTGGACTAGTGCTTCTTTTTGCCCCTCTTTTAGTATTATTACTAAAATTTTAATTTTAGAAAATTAGAAAGTAATTTCCATCATCTGCACAGTCCGCAATTTTTTGTTTGTGCATAGTTCCTAATCAAGTCATTTGAGTGCTCACTAGGCAGTGAGCATGCAGTGAATGCATGCATTGATTTTTTTAATTACTGTTAAGTAAAGTTTAGTATGCATGTAGTTTGTGTATTCTCTGTTTCTTCCGAAGCAAAGTCTGTTTTTCTCAAACCATACACACAAACACATACACAACCTCAACCACAGACTAGCCACTAGGTCCTAAGCCAGTTAGTTTGCAAACCATGAAGAAGAACCACAGTCTCTCTCTCAGGGATTGTTGACAGTCTGACTGCCTCAAGGCTCCAGTGAAATGATCATATGCTCAGTAGAGTTGAGAGGATTAGAGAGAGTATCTGAGACCTCAGAGTGATCTCATAAAATTTCCTAAAACCATAAAATGTTTCTGATAGTTTGAAAAAGGCATAAAGCATATAGCGCAAGTTCTGGCAGGTCACATAGCTCGCATCAGCTGACTCTCAGCTGATCCACGTCTACCTATAGGAATACGACATCTACTGTATACGTATATACGCTCCTTCAGTATTATCAGCAGCTATCGTGTTTCTCAGGAGCTCCTCCATCCCCAGCTCCTCCTCTCGCCCAGTCAGGATTTGGCATTCTGATTCCCCATGAATCAGACTAAAGTTCTCTAATCACATTGTACATTAAAATGAATGGATGATATCTGCGACACATTCATGTTGCTTCTGTCCTGTTTACCGTAAGGGAGGTTATTGCTGCTCTCCTGCTCTTAGCTGTGCTGCATGGATGCACAGGGAGTTCTCGCCCAGAACAGAACTATAGCGCCAATCATCGTATTTGACGATAGTGAATCTTGAATCTTGGTGATTTCTTTTGGAAAAGTGTTTCAATTAGTGAATATGTTGAATAGGTGTCACTCAGTTAGTAGTTGATGTGTTGTTAAAGGGACACTTCACCCCACTTTGCATTAAGCTTTGTATTTTTATAAACAGAAACCCAGTCATATTTTAGAAACCCTGTCATGGTCATGGTTTATTCCCTTGTTTTTGTCCTTGGAACTTTTTTCATAGGAACTTTTTTTTTTTGCCCCAGACCGCTTGCTTACTGCTTTACACTGCGTACCAAAGTACCGGTCCGGGGCGGGAAGATTATGTAGTGACGTTGAACTGTGTGCGACTGCTCCTCCCAGTCCTGCGGTGGAAACGCGGCTTATGGTTATTATGGACTTCAGAAAGGGTTGACAACAAATATGTAGCCTATATTTTATATATTAACTGCTATTGTAAACCCAAATAGTGTCTATTGTTGACTTTTTTTATAATTAAATGATTCAAACTGCAAGGTAAAGGGCATCTGCTAAATTAATAAATGTAAATACATTATTTTATTCAAAAAAAAATCTGACATTCTGAGCATTGAAATTACAGGAAGATAAAATTCTGGCATGCTCAACAAATATGATCAACCATACAAACAGTTAAAAAAAGTGTGTTATATTTATCTCTGGATGATGCTTTTGACCCATAAGAAGTATGCCACATCAACCGCCCACATGCATTTACTAAATACAGCTTCCACAAGTTTGGACTTCAGAACGTGACCAAGCTTTTCCCTTTTCCTCACACACTCTTCTTAATCTTCTTTTTTTCTCTCTCTTGAGGAATGTGAGTTGGCTCTTTCCAGCCTCTCCTTAGAAAACTGCCCTCCCAAGATAAACAGCGCTAGTCCAGCCAGCCCTCCGCCCTTCCCAGAGTGCTGTGTTTTCCCTCCAGCTCATGAGAGCGTGGGGATCTCCACCCCTGTGTGGCACTGGGACTGAGAGTTCCCTAACCCCTGATCCCCCCTTTCTCTATGCATTGATAGGCTGGGCTCAGGTGCTTTTGTGTTTGCATAAGCTCTCCAAATATGGTAATTGACTTGGTTGGCGTCAGTGCTCAAATTGAGGGGTTGGGGGATCGGTTTTATTATTTTAATAAAAATAATAATGACAAATCTTTTTAAATGCATGCTATGGATACGGTACATCTCGTGAATTATTTACAATTTAAAATAATAATAATACAATAAATATCATTTATTTCTGTGATTAAAGATTAATTTTCATCATCATTACTCCAGTCTTCATCAAATTGTATATTACGAGACTAACGAACAATCCCCCCCCCCCCAATTCAATTTCAGCACTGGTTGGCGTCTATAACAAACAACCTTTTTTCAGTGAGTGAAGCAGGTGCTATTTCAGACAATCCATTCAATGTCGCCCACTTATAACCAGGCCTACACCGAATTCAGCAGAATACACTTTCCATATATCTGCAAAAAATGGCTCAGATTCTGTCAGGACCTGCTTTTAATCCCACTTTTGAATTCAGAGGGAATTGGACTGGTATCTGTCTCTGTTTAAGCCTTTGATAAAGAATGTAACCCACATGCAAATTTGAACCGCTTATTCAAATGCAGCTAACTATGTACTGTAAACAGTTTGTTATGGTAGGTGACCTCACCTCACTCATTTTCATCACTGTTTGATTAATCAGTTGATCAGGCATGTTTATGTTCACACTTCACAGAGGGGTGTGTACACGTATTTGTGACGATTTAGTGGTGTGAAAGCCCGTTTGGACGTGTCTGTGTGCAATATGAGTTGTAAAAGGAGATGTTCGTATTTGACCCTTTGAGAGTGTGTGTGTGTTGCTCCGATTCTACAGTGTGGCCTGTGATCTTCAGAATGAAAGATGGGTAGGAGTCGTTATCCTGCACTGCTTCATAATCCTCTCTTTCAAAGACACTGGCATTCTTCAGAGGCTCAGACGAGCACCCAAACAGATCAGTGCTGACAGCATTACCAATGTGGCACACAGGGCAGCCAGGCTCTTAAACATTAGCTTTGATCCTGCAGCATAAGCAGCGTTAATGTAAACACTTCAGGAACTTGGGTAGAGGATGAAGTTACGACGTAAAGGTATAAGATCAGAGGTCTTCATATTATCTGCATGGAGTTTGGAGATATATATAGAAGTAGAAAAAGAAATCTGCAGACATAAGAAGAACTCAATGGTCATTTACTTTTGTTGGTGAAAGTGCTGCATTCAAACAATAATTACATAACATGATTACCTAGTGTAGCCTATGACTATGTCAACAATTCAAAAGTGTTAACATGGAGGTCTCAATTTATTTTAATTTTGTCTATTTTGCATTGAGGAGACAGAGACAGAGACTGAAACTAGGACTGCAGAATCAGATATACAAACCGTAAACAAAACAGCACGAGCGCTTGCTTACCATTTTGAATATCAATCGTGCTGACCACTTTCTTCATTTCAGACGGCTAATAATGAAAATATTTGTGAATTGAAATGCTCTGATAAAGTGACGTAAAATTACGACAGCCTTAGGCCATGTGTCCACCAAAGCGTTTTTCCACGCACCTGTTTTCAATGGGAGCGCGGCCTTTTTTAAACGCCATGAGCGTAATGAGGCTCTGAGCGTTTTTTTTTCACACTGAAGTGCTTTTACTGCGCTTTTACTGGTCGCCGGGAGTTGAAAAAAACTTTGGATAGTAGTGCTCATCACTGTCACTTTTTGCCCAGCCATCCAATCACAGTGGATGAGGGGCGGGCTAATACCACACCGACCAACTGTCTGTCACAACATTATTTCTGTACAACGACATCAACCAGCAGAGCTAACCGAACAAAATGGATGAAAATTATTTCTTTTTAGTATGAAACAAATTATCTGCGAAATCAGTTTCAAGTAAACTGTGCTGCGGA